CCAGTAGACTACGAGGGATCCCTTTCTGTTACTCTACAATCCTATCTTCCACTACTTTGTATCCTTGGTACCCGGTGCCCTTGGTACACAGTACCTGCAATGTATTAATCACTTAATAAACATTTTTAATGGAAGGAATACAGTTTCAACTGTGTTTTCATTAGTTACATCTTCTTTCAGACAGCCCCAAGGCAGAGACATTCTAATGTAATCAGACTAATACAGAGCTAGGATTAAACCAATACAACTAGAAGTCTCCTCTCTCAGAGCAGGAGTTATAGATGGATTTTTCTCCTTTGGTCACCACAGAAAGACAGAGTGATGGGAAAGAACCAGTTAACAGAAGTCTCTAGAGGCAGTGAAGAGGTCTCAGAGTTTGTCAGGTTCCCATAACTGAAGCTCGTTACAGAGGAGAATATTTAGGAAGTAGGATGGGTTTTGACCTCATTCTAGCCACAAGATTTCCAGAACCTTTGCTGTCTTGTTAGAGGGGAGGCCCCACTTCTTCCTCCCCAATGCATTCGTGTGCTCCGTGCTGCTTCTCCTTTCTCTGTTCCTGTCCTCACTCCCCCACGTCACACAGCAGTAACAAAATGACTAAAACCTTCCCCATTATACTCGTTGTGTGGGCCACAGCAAGTTTGTCCACAGCCTGGCAAATCTGCCCCCTTTGCTGTGTCCTTAGGCCACCCTGGCTAGAAGTCCTCTGCGGAGCTGTAGGAGGAAGTGAGATCCTTCTCTAAAACCCACTTAGCCAAGCCTGTGGCCACCGTTCTGTCTGGTCAAGTTCCCTGCCCAGCCTCCATTGTTCGCTTAGGCACTGAGACTCCTCTCCAAACCCTACACCCTGGCCCTTCTGGAATTTGTTACCCTCAGCCCCCTTTCCTATGCCGGTTACTGTCCCACATACTGGCTTATCTCTCTGGGCTTCTTTTCTCTTCCTGCTCCTCACTTGAATGCAAACACCACAAGACAGAGGTCATATTCTGTTCACAAACGTATCCCAAGTCCTGAGAGTATTGTGTGGTATGAGTAGATGGTCAGTATAGATTTGTAGAATGAATGAGAGTGTCACCCACCCCTTAGCTAAGGTTTAGTGGAACAGCAAGAATCTAAATGGCATTTCAGAGGATTTTGTAGGAGAACTGTAACTAAGGTACTGTTTTTTGTTTAAAATGAGCCAAAATTTTTATTCATTCATTTCTTTCTTTGATGGCATCTTTGGCCTGAGATTCTTTGCTATAGTCTTTTAAAAAATTACATACATTTTTATGATTTAAGTTTCACTAGTTTTTACCAGTAGTTGTAGTAAGATTTTAATGTCTTGTAAAGATGCTTTCCAGCATTACAATGTGTAGCCTTTTTTAGGGGCCTCAATGATTTTGATGTCACGTCCTTAAGGCTCCTAACATGGCATTACTATTGCCAGCTTTTTCTAAATTTCCTAAGTATTATTTTATGCTCATGCAGGATAGACAAAGAAGACACCAGGAGCCAGTTCAATTAGGTTCAATTCATCAAGACTTTTTAAAAAGTTATTTTGAGATAGTGTGTCACTATGTAGTCCAGTTTGGCCTTCCAATTCTGATCCTCCTGCCTCAACCACTGAGTGATGGGATTACAAAATATGTGCCACAGTGCCTGGCTAAATTAGTCAAGAGAAGCTGGGCCTGGTGGTGCACACCTGTAATCCCAACACTCGGAAGGCTGAGGCAGGAGGAGCATTACAAATTCGAGACTAGCTTGGGCTACAAAGTGAGCTTGAGGCCAACCTGAACTGCATAGTGAGATCCTGTCTCAAAAGGAAAAAAAAAAAATTCATCAAGAGTTTTAAAATGCTCTTTTGGTCCAGGAACTATGCTGGTGCTGGAGAGAGAGGGGTGGAATAAACTATTGCTTCTGTTTTCTAGTTTACCATCTTCTAAAATGACAAACGTATAACAGTGACAAATGCTAAAAATGCAACATAAACCAAGAGGGATGGTATGGAGAGTTCTACTAAACATGGAACAGGTTCTGTCTTAAGAAGGTGACTAAAGCCATCCTAGGCAAACAATGCAGGGTATGGAGGTGATTAAGGAGACCCACAAACGCACTATCAAGCTACTCTTCACCCTTTGGAAAGAAATTTTCCCCTCAGACCTTTCCTTGCTTTGTGCTATTCTGGCTGAGCCAGCAAATGGTGTGGGAAGAATACATCGCTAAGCTGCACTCACTTACTATGTCTCTGGCTTCCAGTTCTCTGCTTGGCAAAAGCAGGTCTTCTTCCTTTTCCCAGCTCAGTTACTGAGGGTCTGAGGTTTCATGGAAACCGCACCTGCCAGTCTGGCTTGGGGCTTCTGAATCAATCCAGTTTCCTTATGATAGCTTCTTATCCTCTCTCTGCCCATTCTGAAACTGTCTGTTCTGTAGTTTCTTGGTATTGCATTTGTCCTGGTTACCTGTACATTGAGTTATTGTCTTGGGATGAGAAGCAGTTGGAAGATGACTCATCAGTACAGTCTTTATGACTTTCTTTTCTGCCTGTGATGATTCAGACTTCTGGCCTCAATGTTTCTCACTGCTTCGGCCCCCAATGAGTCATGTGTCCCCAGGGAGTGGGCCAGGAGCCCTGCTCTCTCTGCCCCCCCCCCGATTCCAAGTGTCCTCATGGGGAGAAGTGATGCTTGAGTAGCCCTTTCCGGTGAGAAGGAAGAAGTTCTGTTCTATGACACCGTGCGTCTATTGATTGGCAAGAGACTGCTGTACCAGTCACTACTTTAAATATTTAAAATTCCCCCCAGGCTTCAAGAGGGCAGACTTAGGTATACCTCAGGCATCCACCCTGTTTATTATGTTCTCTGCAGCTGGAGAAAGCAACAAATGAGTTGCATATCTCTGTGAAGCCGTTACTGATTTCCTAAGACAGAGGCTGGGAAATACAAAGGGGAAATACCTAACCCTCTGCCTCCTTTGGGTCACATTCATTTCTGCACACCAGGGCATTTTTGCCTCCCCAGATACAGCAGGTATCTAATACATGCTACAAATTGGCGCATAAAAGTGCATGGGATGACTTACTCCATGGTAGGGGAACTGCACAGAACCCAGAAGTCCAGTTTCTGATAAGAAGGCCAAGTTATGCCAGTGAACCGTTGAGTAAGGAGAAATGGGGAGGCTCCATTAAGCCGGTGAGATCTTTGAGAAGAAAAACTTGTCTCAGGAGTGCATTAAGAACCAGCTCCACAGTTTAATTTGGGGACTCTTAGTCTCCAGTGCACCCCATGACACTGTCCTCCCTCTTAACTTGCAGTGAATCCACAACCCAGCTGGCTCCCCAAGCCAGGGAATAAGTATCTTTGTACTTCTCGCCCATTCACTGGAATGGTGAGAGCCTCCTTGTACTGGACTTTATCACCTGGAGTAACACACGGTGTGTCGGTCACTCTTTGGTTGTTGGGACATAATACCTGATTTCTACAACTTAAAGGAGGAAGGATTTCTTTTGGTTCCTGGTTTCAGAGGTTTCAGTCCATGGTTGGCTGGCTCCATGGCAGAACATCATGGCAGAGGGATGTGGTGGAGCTGTACTGCTCAGCCCATGGCAGCCAGCAAGCCTGGTGAGCAGGAGAGAGCTGGAGAGGAAGGGCAGGGACCACATACACCCTTCAAAGCCACACCCCAGCAACTTGCTTCAGCCAGCAGGCCGAACTTCTGATAAGCCCATCTGGCCATGGACTCATGCGTGGGTTCATTCATTGAGGCACTTAGAGCCCTCGTGATTGAATCACTTCCCCAAAGTCCATCAGCAGCTTAACCTCAACACAATGAGCCTCTCCAGGGGGCTTACTGGACCCTACCCCAAACACATGGGCATATCCCGAAGGCAGCACTTCCTGTCAGAATCTGCGGATTCCTATATGAGGATAGCCCAATATCAGACGTTATCTCTCTACCTTTCTTTTGTTCTTCACCTTTATGCACTATAAATGGCAAATACAATCATATATATTTTAGGTATACAAGATCTTGTTTTGAGATACATCCACATTGTGAAGTGATTCCGTAATCAAGCTAATTCACATATCCATCACCTCAAATGCTTACAGCAATTCTGTTTCTTCCCCTTAGAAACATTTTCTAACAGTGCAAGTCAAAAATACGTGTAAACAAAAATGGTCTCAGGATCTCGTTCCCAGACATAGGTTAATGCTAGATGAACACTCTAGACCTTCTTGATAATCCGGATACTGTATAATAATGCCTGTTTGAAAATAGAAAATTAGCAAAGTCATAAAACTGCTTTGTCATCTGCTGTTTCATTTAATGGAGTGTAGTGGATGCTTTTTCACCTCAATAAACTCCTGTCAACATGATAACCCCACACGCAGTCTGTCGTCTCTCTCTTCTCTTGGTTTTTTGAGACAGTGTTTCACTACATAGTTTACTCCGGTTTTGAACTGATTATATAACCCAGCCTGGCTTTGAACTCACTGTGATCCTCCTGCCTCAGCCTACAGAGCGCTGGGATTACAGGCGTGTGCCACCCTACCCACCCTGATGATTTCTTAGTGTTATGCTTACGTCTTTCTATCCTCCTTCACACCCTCTCCCTTATTCCCTTTCTCTAGGCTAATAATTGTCTCTTCCACTTTTTTGTCACTATTTTAGACTCCAGAGCCAGCCCTTACTTTTCTTCACTGGCATCGAGGTCACACATTATTGTGGTCTTTACTCTCTGTCTCTTACATTAAGAGTGTGAACTGTGGGAGCTCATGGCTTTACCACTAGCACAGGAAGCACGACCTGGCTGCATCTGTCGCGGGTGCATGAGTATTCACAGAAACTGCGGAAAAGACTGTGGGACCAACGTTGAAAAGGCTGGATGGATCAGGATGAGCAGGTTCAGGCCCTGGCAGACTCATGGAGGATTCCAGTGAACAATATGTACCACACATCAAATCTCAGGGCAGGGAGAAAATATTCCGTGATCCTCCAACTTCTGTGATCACAGAACTTACCTTTCTCCCGGTGGTACTGCCCAATGTCACAAGATGACCACAGGCCCCAGAGCTACCTGAGAACGCCCCTTGGAGGCACAGGCGCCAGACACAGTCTTGCAGGCAGGGTCCGGAAAGCAGGCTGGGAAAGAAGCCGTGGCGGGTGATTCGGAAGAAGGAAGGAGGACGGCGCCAGAAGAGAAGCTAGCTCTCCCCGCACCCCCCCCATTCCCCCCCACCCCGCCCAGGACCCGCTGGGCAACCCGGTACGCCGCTTTCCCGAGGGATACGCAGAGGTCACGCAAGCCACGCAACAGAGGAGGCGCGAGGGCGATAGCCCCACAGATAAGCACGCTCCTGTACCTGGGATCAGAAACCAAACCAAAGCACAGAACAATGACAAAACCAGCATTACCAGAGGCCCCAAAGCTTATTTCTCTTAATTTTTCCTTTTGGTATTTCAGATTTTCCATACTTTATATTTTAAAAGTAGACTATGTTATTTTTTTCCATTTTTCTTTGTATTTAATTTAGTGCTTCTGCTTCTTCTTTCTCCTCCTCCTCTTTTCCTTCTTTTTTTCTTTTTTGTAGTGTTGAGGGTTGAGGGCCTCTAAGTCATGTACACTTAGCCCAATTAAAAAAAAAAAATTTTTTTTTTAAATTTTGAAACAGTGTCTCACTAGGTTGCCAGGTTGCCAAGTCTGGGTTTGAACTTGTGGGATTTTAACAAAATAACAGGTAAGAAACACTTGGCTGGGCACAGAAACTAACACATGCCTGCTATCCCAGCACTCTGGGAGGCTGAGGCAGGAGGATCACAAGCTTCAGTCCATAAAGAGTTTGAGGGCATCCTGGGCTAGAGACAGAGATTTTCTCTGTAGGAAGCAAAACAAAGTAAACCAAAAGGAAAAAAAACATGGATGCTTAAAATCATGGTTTTTCAGCATTTATATTCCAAAATATATACTTAAGGCTATATATTTTGAAGAGTTTTTTGTTTATTTTTTTGAGACAGTCTTTTTATATCGCCTAAATTGGTCCTGAGCTCCTAGGCTCAAGTGATTCTTCTGCCTCAGTCTCCGTGGTAGGTTGCAGAGAGCACTGGGATGTACTATTTTGTCTAGTGGCACATCTAAGTAATTTTTACTCTTAGTACGACATGCTTTATATATTTTTGTTGTTTGGTTTTGTGAGGCAGGGTCTTGCTATACAGTTCAGGCTGGCCTTGAATCATGTAGCCTATGCTGGCCTTACTGCCTCAGACTCTTGAGTGCTGGGATTACAGGCATGCACCACCATGTTCAGCTCCATATGCTTTAATAAGTCATATTTTTAGTTATCATGTGTTAAAATATGTTTAAAATTTTGTGATTCTCTGAGCTATAGTATGGGCTGTAGTGTACTGCTTACTTTACAAACTTTTGGGGATTTTCTAATTATTTTTCTTTTTAAAAACATTTCATTAAGTATATTTGATAAATCATATATATTTAAGGTATACAATGTCATGTTTTGAGATGGATATACATTGAGAAATTATTTGTATAAACAAGCTAATTTACATATCCATGACTTCACACACTTATAGCAATTCTTAATTTCTTCTGCTTAGAATCATTTTATCATAGCACAAAAAAATTCTTAAAGAAAAAAGAAAAATGTGCTCAGCATGTCACTCCCAGAGACAGATTAAAACAGTTAAGTGAACACAATTCTAAATGAGTTTTTCATCTCTACACACTGATGCCTTTTTAAAATTTTTTTTTGGGGGTACTAGGAATTAAACTCATGACCTTGTGCTTGCCAGACAGGTGCTGTGCCCCTGAGCTATATTCCTGGCACTGATGCATTTTTGAAGATAGAAAATCAGCAGTACTATATATACAGTTTTGTACCCTGATATTTCACTAAACACAGGGGACATACTTTCATCCCAATACATTCATGTCAACATCATGACTTCTTTTTTTTTTTTGGTACCAGGAATTGAACTCAGTACCCTGCACCTGCTAGGCAGGCACTGTGCCACTGAACTATGTCCCCAGCCTTTTTCTTTCTTTCTTTTTCTTTTTTACTTTTTAAAAACATTGCTTTATTTTTACTTTTTCATGACTTCTGAATGTGACAATAATAACTCTTTTCCATTCTGCATTCCTCTCCCTTACATTCTCCCCCTGCCCCTTGTTTCCTTCCTTTTGTCAAAATATAGCCTCCATTCTAGTTTCATGTTGTCTTTTTCAGGTTCCACACATTAGGGGGAACATGCCATACTTCTCTTTCTGAGTCTCACTTAGTTTGCTAAACGTGGTCATCTGCAGCTCCATCCATTTTCCTGCAAATGACATAATTTCATTCTCTTTCATGGCTGAATAATATTCTGTTGTGTGTGTGTACCACACTTTCCTTATCCATTCATCTATTGATGGGCATCTAGGCTGGATTTATATCCTGGCTATTGTGAATGATGAAGCAAAAACGTGAGTATGCAGGTATCTCTATAGTTATCTGACTGCAATTCCTTTGGTTGTCTACGCAGGAGTGGTACAGCTAGATCAAATGGTTGCTCTATTTTTAGTTTTTGAGCAAGCTCCATACTGATTTCCATAACTGATATACTAGTTTACATTCTTACCAGCAGTGTGCCAGGGTTCCTTTTTCCCACCCCCTGCCAGCGTATCCTGTTTTCTGTATTGTTGGTGACACCCATTCTGTTTGGGGCAGATGGAATCTCAGTGTATTTTGATTTGCATTTCCTTCATAGCTAATGATGTTGAGTACTTTTTTTTCCATATACTTATTGGACATTTGTACATCTTTTGAGAGGCATCTATTCATTTGTCCACTTATTCATTGAGCTACTTGACTTTTTGTTACTAAGTTTTGAAAAATTCTTCATATGTTAATCCTTTGTCACAAGAGTAGCTGGCAAACATTTTCTCCCATTCTGCAGAATGTCTCTCCATTCTGCTGGTTGTTTCTCCAGTTGTGCCCAAACTTTTTAATTTGATGTAGTCTCATCTGCTGATTCTTGTTGTCATTTCCTGTGTGATAGGAGTGCTCATCAAGGTCTTTGCCTGTATCTGACTTCCCAATGTTTCCTCTACTCTTTCCTCTAGCAGTTTCAGAGTTCCAGGTCTTATACATACCTGGGCTTTGATTCATTTTGGTTAAGTTTTGAACAGGGTGAGAGACAAGAATCTAGTTTTAATCTTCTATGTAAGGATGTTCAGTTTTCTTTCTTTTTTTGGACTATGTTGTTGTTTATATATTCATTTATTTCTAATTTTTTTATTTTCACTAGTACATATTTGCAGTACATAATGCTCCCATTCTTTCTGTGTAGTTGGCACGTGTACATAACATATCTTAATTCTTTTTACTTCCCCTTCATTCCCTCTCTCATTCCTCCACCCCTTTATTCTTTCCCAATCTGCAAAAGGTCTGTCTCTCTGTTTACTATTATCTGTCTCTTATTTTGCTTTTTCCACTGGGCTTCTCAAATAAGGGAAACCATGTGCTATTTAAGCTGTGTGTGTGATTTATTTCACTTAACGTTATCATCTCAAGATGCATCCCTTTTCCTATAAGTGACTCAATTATCTTTTTCTGTGGCAGGGTAGTGCTCCATTTTGTATAAATGTTCACATTTTCTTTATGCATTCATCTGTTGATGGACATATTGGCAATTTCCAAGATTTAGGTGTTATGAATTGTGTTGCTATAAACATGGTTATGAAAGTATCCCTGTAATATGATGTCTTTAACTCTTTTGAGAAGATACCTAAAAAGGGAATAGCTGGAGTGTCTACTTTCAGATTTGAGATTTTCAATACTGATTTCCATAGTGGTTGTATTAATTTACATTCCTACCAACAGTGTAGAAGGGTTTCTTTTTCCTGGTAGCCTCACCAACATTTGTTATTATTTGATTTCTTGGCTATGGCCATTCTTTCCAGAGTAAGGTTGAATCTCTGTGTTTTAATTTGCATTTCTATAGTGGCTAGAGATGTTGAACATTTCTTCATGTGTTTATTGGCCATTTGTACATCTTAAGAGAAGTGTCTGTTCACTTCAGTTGCCCATTTTTTAAATTGTTTTTTTCTTTTTATTTTGGAGGGGGTCTATTTTTGATTTTTTATATATAGTTTAGACGTTAGCCTTTTGCCTGAGGAGTTGCTGGCAGAATGTTATCATTCTGGATGTTGCCTTTTCACTCTGTTGGCTGTTTCCTTTGCTGTACAGAAGTGTTTAAATTTGCTATGATCCCATTTGTTGATTCTTGATGTCTTTCTTTGTGCAATTTGGGTTCTGTTTAAAAGGTCTTTGTTTATTGTATGTCTTTAAGAAGTTTATCTATTTTATCTTTCAGCAGATTCAATGTCTTTGTTTTAATATCCAGGTTATTGGTCCATTTTGATTTTAGTTTAGTACATGGTGAGAGATATGGGCCTAGACTGAACTTTCCGCATGTGGATACCAGTTTTCCCAGCACCATGTGTTAAGGAGACTATCTTCCCTCCAGTGTTACATTTTTTGCTGGCTTGATTTTTTTCCCCTTTGTCAAAGACCAAATGGCTGAATGTGCCTGGTGTTGTTTCTGCATCCTCTATTTCTTCCCATTGATCCACATGTCAGTTTTGTGCCAGTTCCATTCTGTTTTTACCACTGCTGCTTTGTAATATAACTTGGAACCTTGGATTGTGATGCTTTTCACTTTGCTCTTTTAACTAAGGATTCCCTTTGTTCTTCTGGGTTTCTTCTGTTTCCACATGAATTTTAGGATTGTTTTCTCTAGTTCTGTGAGGAGTGTTGGTATTTGAATAGGGCTGCCTTAAATGTAATCATCCATTTTGGAAGCATGGCTGTTTAGATAATATTGGTTCTGCCTAGCCAGGAATAGAAGGTATCTTTCCATTTTCTGATATTTTCTTCTATCTCTTTTTCAGAGTTCCATCCTTTTCATTAGACAGGTATTTCAGTTCCTTTGTTAAGTCCTAAGGATTTAATTTTTCTTGAAATTATTGTGAAAGGTGCTGTTTTTCTAATTTCTCAGCGGGCTCATTATTGTTGTACAGGAACACTATAGAGTCTTGTTTTTTAAGTTTTTATCCTAATACTTGGATTTATTAGTCCTAGGAATTTTTTGATGGAATATTTTGGATCTTCCATGTAAAAGGTGATGTTGTCTATGGGAAAGGATAGTTTGACTTTTTTCTTTCCTCTAGATGTCC